CTGGAAGGCGCGCTCGCTTACGCGCACAGATACCCATATCTATATCCAAAACGAATTCTCATTCTTTGTCTGTCAATACAAATGTTCATGAACTATATTATTCTTTTTAGAATAAAATATATTGCAAGTACTTATAAATTGAAATGTTCATTTATACGTTGTTTCTTCTTACTATTTCTTATCATATTTCATGGTGTCAATATGATTTAAACAATGTCATTCGAGGTACAAAAATGTCTGTTAATGATGATATGTTTGTATCAGCATCAAATGCTTTTTCTAACTTTGCTGTTATCATGCATCCATTCAGAAATACTAGTAACACAACAACTACACGATGTAGCATGAGATACAATACAACTGATCGTTATGTTCATAGTGTAGCTGTAGTTGGTATTGCTAAAAATAGTACTAATGCTGAACATTTTATATTTGTTTTTACTGCCGAAAAAATGTCGACAATGACTCCATATGTTTGTATTGGTCATATAATGAAATCAACATGTATCTCTACAGTTCAATGTACAGATATGGGTACAGGAGGATTTCATCAAGAATACTTTCTTATTGGTGTTGATAATAATGGTACTTTTGCTTATGGTTTTTCAAGTTCATTTGTATTTAAATTGAATATTTATGCTAATAATATTACTTTAAATGTTTCAACGAATTCTGTTTGGCCATCATTGGGCTTTATTCTACATGCTATGGATGTAGCTGATACATGGGCAGTAGTTGCTGGTTATGGATATTTAGATGATGTGAAAAAAAATTATGCTGCACTTGGATGTTTAATTGATCTTTCTATGATAATAAATGCATCTTGTACGAGTCTCACATCTGAAACAACATATTTAGTACCATCGAATGTCATCTCATACAGTGAACTTTATGAATTATCAGTTGGTATTCGTAGTCAAAAAGTTCTTGTTGGAGTGCATCGACTATCAACGGTTGTCATTGTTCGAAATCTTGGATCATCATTAAATGTTACCGGTATATATACATTATCTTATCCAGGTGCTACTTCATTTGGTCGTGTCGTAGATTGGGCAGATGATACAACAATTGCTGTACTAGTTCAAGATCCAGATACAACATCTTGGTCGAAATCACAAGTATTCTTTTATGATGAACGTTCAGTGATGTTGACTTCTCCTCTCTTTACTTTTCCTAATAATCAACAAATATTAGGTAGTCGTTTATCACGTCCATCTTTTGCTCGATTTGGTATTACAAGTGAAGGTAATATGGCTATACTTACAGATAATGCTGATATTTTAATTATTCCTCTTGCTTCTGCTGGTTATACATCATTATGGATTGATACTATAGAACGTGTATTTGCATTCTATTTTCAACCAACACTTTGTATTGGTGGAACATATAAAAATCGTTCAAGTTTAGGTCCATGTCAAATTTGTCCTCCACGTACTCGAAATCCTGGTACATTTGATAATGCAGTTCTTCAATGTATACCATGTTCGAACAATTCATCAACTTCATTTTGTCCACTTGCATCACTAGTTGATATTGACTTGAATACAGTACCTACCTATAGTCAAGCAGTTGCATATCCTGAAACAGGTGATACAACTGATGTTGAAGATCTTCTATTAAAAAATATGTTTCAAATTAGTTCCAATGCACGTTGTTTAATTATTTCTCCTCTTCTTTGGACATTAATTGTCGGTGGGGTATCTCTTTTTATTTTAGTATTTATGATTGTAATTAAGGAATGTGAATGCCACCAATATGTAAAATGTCGAAAAAAAGCTAAGAATATATTTAAACATACAGATATAATTGGTGAAGGTGAAATGTGGGCTGGTGGATTAGCAACATTTTCTATTCTTGTTCTTGTTTCATTTTCTTATTGGTTTTCTGTATCATTTATACGACGATATCCACTTGAAGAGGTTTTTGAACCAGCTACATTCGCTTGTGATCAATCATTAGTTAATGCACAATTTTCTAGTGGTCTTGAACTTCTTGATATTCCAAAATCAGAAGAATCTCAACCAATTTTTGATCTTCTTGATGCACAAATATTTTATTTAACCATAGAATTGATTAATACTGGATTTATGTGTGATTCTATTAAAACACAAGAGAATCTTAGTGGTACTAAATATGTTTCCTTATCAAATAATTGCACACAATCAGTTCCTGAAGCGATCACATCTATAACACTTCCTGTACCAAGACATGAGACAACTGTACAAATAAATATGACTGGTCCTTATTGGATTGGTGCTATTCGTTTATGTATTCGAGGAGAAGGTCAAATAAATATGAGCAGTACATTACGTCAACTAGATTCTTGTCAATTTTATGCAACACCTAATCGAGCTATTGGAAGATTAACTCATATTCCAATTGTATTTATTAAAAACATTAATGTGACACATGCACTAGGCGCATCAGATCAAACTCTTTATTCAGGTATATGGATACCAACTTTCACTATTGTACCACTATCAGATGAAGAATACTATGTTGACTATGGGAACTATTTACGTTATATGTCTTCATTAACTATTATTCAAGTAATGCTTGATGAACGTCCATTTTTTATGAAAAATATTGAACAACCTATTGTTCGAACAGCTGAATTAGTTTTTAAACTTTTATTATTTACTTCATTATGTATTGAACTATTTGGTTTTTTGTTTCTTATTGTTAAACTTTTGATTGCACCATTATTGCGATGGATTGTGTATTTATGGAAAAAACGTCGTGGACAAAATGATAAATCAAATAGTTCAAATGGATTTACTAGATCATCATCACATTCAATTTCTTCATACAAAAAAGATTCTATTCAAAAAATGGAAATTGATCAATTGATGGCTCTCGAAACAAATCCATCTATATTCAAAATAAATCAACAAGACAAACACAACAAATATTCAACATCGAACATTGAATTAAATTCATCTGAAATCAATCATAGATTTTAAATAAAACATTCATGCAAGAAAAAGAAAGAAAAGTGTAAATGAATTATAGGATGTTTTCTTATATTAACAGTTGTTTATGCTTACATTTGAATATACGAGAAGAAAAAGTTATTTATCAACTATATGTTACTTATTGGACAAAAAGAACAATGAAGTTTGTTTTTATATTGTCTGACAGCACTTTTTTTAAAATTAAAGTATAATAAAATTATTTTGTTTTCATGTTTTATATATGATTTATAGTATAAAATCCTCTGCAGTCATTTGGATAAGAAAACTCATATTGTTTTTGTTTGTCCTCAATCAATCTACATCATATGAAAGCGATTTTTGAATTACAATTAGATCAAACTGTGTTTCATTCACTGATGAAAGAGTCCTTGAGAAATGCTATCAGCACAAACCGTGTGAGATTAAATAACATAAAGACCTAAATTACAATCTTTACAGATATAACAATAATTAGTCCTCTTTCTAGATCTTCGACTAGTGTGTGCGTGTGTGTGTACATACAACATAAATTTTCTGAGAAGGTTTTTCTATTTGTTGTTTCACATACAAGAAATAAAAAGTATTTAGAAGAAAGTTTAGTTGGTTGATAAGTCAATACAAAACGACCTATTGTAGATTTTCGGACTCTATGAGCGGATGTGCAGAATGCACCGCTATATTGAAAAGTTTCTCCGAACGGCAAAACTTACGCGGAAACTTTCACCACTTAAAATCGAATTGAGAGAGAGTCCGCGAAATCACCTACCAAATCGGCTGCTGCTAAAATTTTGATTCTCGATTTAATTATCTCAAACGATTTACCATCATTAGAATACTTCAAACACAAAATATTAGCACTTTCTGCCTTTCCTATTGAAAATGCCAAAGTATACAAGTGACACATCCTTCGGGATTTGGTCAAAAAATCGCAATTTTTTAGTGTTCTTACAATGGAGGTGTTTGTACTGTAAGTTGAATTTACCAGATATTTTTGCATCAATAGCACACTCTAAGTTAAAATATGTCGGATGTGTCGTGACTTACAACACATTTCACGACACATTCAAGCACGACACTAGGTGCTCGTTGCGACAAATCTTCCCCAGCAAGCGTACGACACATCCGATACATTCTGAAATCACGGTTCGAGTCTAGGTTTCAGCGTATCTATATATTTTTTTCTTTCATGCATTATATCCATCAATATTAAATTAGTACAATTAACATCAGTGTTTGATGCAATACTGTAAAACAGCCAGACTTTGAGATCCAGCCATGTAAGGCTAGGCAGATCTTGGTCAGACTACTGCCAGGTAGACCTCTCCTAAAGCGAGGTCATTATTTCTCGAAATATTTACGAGAAATATATTATATAAAATGGTGCACGAAAACTAGTGATTCTCATATGATGGTTCAGATCCCTTATATATAGACAAACACGCGAAGCAATATGGTGAATAAACAGTCGTCATATATTTACAGAACGGTTAAAAATGTGACACATTAAAGTGCGACACTTTTTCTTGCTGGTATCCACAACACTATAATTCACGACAGAAAAAGTCAACACATTTTAACTTAGAGTGCAAGCCCTCGCCGCCAAACTAACAAGGTTAAAATATTAGTGGCTGTTGGAGTACTCTTATGGAGATATTCAATTTTTAAGATATTCATGGCTAGAGTATATAGGTACCTTAGAATTATTTATATTAATTTTTTTATGCAATTAACCGAGTACTTGACTCATAGACTATTAGAATCTTTGTGAAGCTTATTAATAGAAGTAAGATCACCCTTAACTTCGATGTTTTTTGGGACCTAGATATTACCTAAGTGGAAAAAAGGTATATAGTGTGTTTCCAAACTGACGTGCGCGTATAATATTCAAAATCGAAAGTGCATTGATGCCTCACTTGGTGGTTTGATTGACCAATTCTTTATGATTGGTGTTATGAAATCACAATGAAATATACTATCGAAGAATTATTCTCGTTCGTTATCTGCTTTATCTACCCATTGGAAACGTCTATTTAATTCAATTAAAACATGAAATTATTGAACATTGCCAAACATCTTCTTCATTTAACTCAAACTAAATATGGATTTGAAAATTCTGCACCAACTACTGATGAAATTTTTGCTGCAGAAAAATTATTCGAAATTCTGAAGTCATTTAAGGATAGCTACTTCAGTGAGTTATATACTTATGATACTCTGGAATTGGAAGATGAATATGATGAAATGACTGATGAAGAAGAAAAAGATGATGAAAATAGTTATTTTAATTTACAAAACCGGTTTACATTAGAAGAAATGAAAAATATAATTGAATGGGTTGACCAACATCCAAATGCCAGATTCGCAACTATTTCCAATCGATTTAAAAAGATCAAATTCATGAATTATATTACAAGATTCAGAGAATATATTGAAAACAATGGTACACGATCAGACAAATTAGAAAAAATTAAAGAATTTATGTTTGATCAATTTTATTTGAAAAGAGCTATTGAAAAAGATGCCGTTCATGACGCTGACCTTGAATTATATGCAATTCAAAAAGCAAGAGAATTAAATTGGGATGAATTCAAGGCAAGAAAATCATTTATTAATAGTTTTAAAAGACAAAATAGAATATCGTCAAGAAGAGTTAATAAAATTATTACTCGAACTAAAACAAAAAAGAAATTCCGCAGTTTAAACGGTAATTAAACTTTAATCTAGCCTTTAAGCACATGTCTTAATGTAATACATAAATATGTTTTAGATGCTCAAAATTGGATCGAAAGCAAAAGAAGTTTAATATCAAAGTATTCTTCGCATCAAATTTTCAACAGCGATCATTGTTCGTTTCAATAGGAGTACATTTCTCCAAGGACCCTTTCTTTTACTGGAGAAAGAACAACAGAAATGACTCTTAAAAAAAATACAACACCACGCATTCTTACACGGTTCAACCGGTTACATCAGCTAAGGGTCATTTATTAGACAAGTTCTTACTCATCCGTCAAGAAAAAGAAAATCAATTCGGTAAAAGGGTGGAAAAAAATCTAATTGTACCACCAAATGTTGTAATAAGAGCTTCTAAATCAGGAAAAAGTAGCGATGAAAAACATCACGCTTTTTTAAATGAAGTTCTGCGTCCTTTGGTGGGTAAAAAATTCCTTCTCTTCCTTGATTCTTGGAAAACTCAAACTGATCTAACAAAATTTAGAGCAGTATTTCCTAATCAAGACAGTCAACTATTGATTTTTCCCGAAGGATCAACCGGTTATATTCAATCACAAGATCTTTCTTTATTTCGATCATGGCGATTTATTCATAAAAAAAATAGAACATTATACTCATATCAATCGTACAGCGATAAATTTAAGTGATCGTCAATATTTCATCAACATTCATTCTGTTATCCATAATCAATTATCAGCTCCACAATTTAACAATCTAATTAACCCTAGTACTACCAGCCTATTTTAAGCACTATACTGACAAAATACCTTTTCATAGAGTGATTCTTTTTACTCCTGCATTAATGTTCTGAGCAGATGGAGGATGGCAAGTCCTTCCTGCCCCCAATAACCAGAAATTTTATATTTTTCGGTCGAAAACTTTAAAAATTTTTAAAAAACCGGAAAAATTATAAAAATGATATTCTTTTTTTTATTTGGCACAGTTAGCACAATAAATGATTTTTACAGAATGTTCATTACAAACAAATTTGGAACAACGAGAACATTGAGTTGAAGTTTTTTTATCCTTTGGATCTTCACAAATCGAACATCGTTTTCGTTTTTTTGATTGTGTAGAATTTCCATTTGGTTCTGGTAGATTTTTCACCATAGGATAACCGACAATAGCTAATGCGTGTTCAATATCTTTATTCAGAAATTTCGACGTTTTTGATCGAAAATCCAGAAGATCCGATACTAAACTTAACCCTAATTCTTCCAGGAATAATCGACGTTGATATTTTTTATTTTCATTCCATTGAGGATTTTTCGTCTTCCATATGACCAGAGCATTTATAGCAGCAATATCTATCATTCCAAAAAAGATACAAAGTGGCCATCGCTTTGTACCTCTTTTCACCTACAGAAAATAAAATGTAGAAATATAAAAAAGAAATCTTCTTTTACCGTATATTTATGACACATTTGATCGACAGTATCGACAGCTCCTTTTGTTTTATTATAGTCCAAAATAATAATTGGCTTTCCAGTTTTTATATCCACTTGATTATCATGATGTTTTGAGGAAAGTACTATAATACAGCTTTATTTTGTTTGGGTACAAATGAAACTAAAGTTAGATCATCTTGAAAACCAAATAGTGAAGAACCAATCTCACGATTTTTATTTGACTGGAATTCCATAGGTATTTCTGGTTTATTTTTTCGTAATGTTCCTATAAGAGTCAGGTTCCTCATTTGAAGTTCTTTGGCTAATTGAACACTTGTAAAAAAGTTATCAATTGTAACATTTCTATTTGAACCATATAGTGGTTTCAGCAATTCTAAAACAACACTGGCACCTATTTTTGTTTGTCTTTCTTGATCTGGTTGTCGTCCAAGGTAAGGAAATGCATTGAATACACAAGTAACGCTCGTCTGTGTGACTCGCTTAACCCTCGACTGAATATTTCACTGCATCGGCAGTTGTTTATTACTGCAGACATTTTGCAAAAGGTAGCATCGGGCATTTGCACAGGGCTTTGTGCTAGTGTCAACATTAGTGTACACATGTGTCGGCGTGTATAATGCTATTGGTACCGTTGTAATACTGCTAGCTATAACATTCGTTCATTTAATCTGTTACTCTATCAATAACACTCAAAAGAAATCTACGTGACCCACACTGACACAGCAATATCCTCAAACCACGAAAAAATAGTATATTCGATTTTCAGAGAAAATCAGCAGACAAAAAATATCAGCGTGACTGCAGTAAAGATGCACTACACTTCACGCAAACTGTATTAATAATGCGCATACTCATAAACACATAGGCGGGCAATATCGCTGACCGGTACCCACTACGAAAATGCATGTTTAGCGTAGCTATCAGACTAAAAAGCTATATTTGTTCAAACTAATATCCGGCATACGCAAGTTGAATCAGGCTTCAACTCTGAGTCTTTGTGAGATTAAATAACGAATTTTAAATAGCCGGAAAAAAAATTTGACAAGTCAATGGGCAGATGACGTATCTATGAAGATAAAGGATTATTAAATTCCATTCAAGTCCACTTTTGATGATTCGATGCAAATTGTATTATTGACGCTTTTCAGGAAATGTTCGATTCCGATATTGAAGATCTCCAACACACTCGTTCTCACACTTCATTCAAATACACTTGTTAACCCTCTTGCCAGTTCTTCCTCCCATGAATCCTAGTAAGATCTAAGTGCTAGAGATCCTTCCAATGGATTAGAAGTTTAAAAGAATTCTATTCAAAGGATTTTTTAGGGCAGCAGCTAGTCACTCGTCGGCATCCGAGTGGGTCGTCACGCGCAACTAATTGCTGTTATGCATCGTTCTCTTCCAGTAATTATATAATCATGCACTGTTATTTAAATTTTACTGGATTCTAGATTTGGATTAGTTTCAAAGCTGCCTATATTTATCGCATGAGAAATCCCAAAGTGAAAATACTTGTGAACTATTCCTTATGCGTTTCAATCCTTTACCTAGCTAGTCAATCTAAGATTTCATGGAGCTCGCCATCGAAAGAAGCTTAAGTATATGATTTCACACAAAAAACTAGCTTAATAGACCATATCTCATACCAAAAAAATTGTGAAATAGAAATAGAAGCTACTATATTTCACTGTCGGAGTTTCGACGTGGCGCTATTCACACTTAGCTACTACTATCTTTGAACACATATTCTCAAATGACTACTTTCTTATTCAAGGCATGACTAATCCACATTTCGACTGCTTCAAAAGCTTCTCTACTCGTAACTAAAGGGTACTAGATTTCCAATATCCAGCAAGATATCTATTAAATATATACGTGTCGTCTCTCGAGTTTCTCCATGTTTATAGGAGTCCTTCTCTACATAAAATGTCACATGTTAAGTCTCTGTGGCACTTTTTTAAGGACCTTGCTTGATGTTATGCAGAAATGTCGTAAAACAGATTTGAATAAACCTAGTTTAGAGGCAGCTATTCGTTCGCCGTCCTTCCGAAGGAAGGCCATTCACGGCTATCCGCTACTTCCAGCTACTTTCACTCACGAAAGGTTGATACCATTTTCAAAATCGAGCCATCGTTCCTATTTAAAAAACTGATGGAAAGTTTGATCCTTTACAAAAAAATTCATCAACATTAGAAATTTTCTTTGGAAGCTTATCAGTATTCAGGAAGAGGACACGTTAGTATAGATTTACCGATAATCTGAAATATTCTGAATAAGTGGACACAGCCGTTGTATCCTGTCAATCTAAATAATTTTTTTTGCGTAACTCGCTCTCATTCCTCAATCTTTGTTCTACAAGCACTCTAATTTCATCTTATCTTCGTATTTCTTGATTCATTACACTACTGTCACGTATTACAAAGTACTTTCTGTTTCTCAACATCACTTCTCATAGAACGAATAGATTTGAGATCTGAATTTTGGAATCCTGATTCCAGATTCGGATTTCTCACCCTCGATAACCTCTAACAAAGTTCGATCAAAACGGCCAAAAGCCGTAAAATAAAAAAGTTCCTTTTTTGATTGACCGGTTTCCGACCAATGAAACTTCGGCCAAAGAAATGGCTTCGGATTCGGATTCAGGGCCATCGATAACCTATAGCAAAGTTTCATCAAATCGTCGAAAAGGCTTAAAATAAAAAAGCTGGTTTCTAATTGGCCGGATTTCACACAATGAAAGCCCGGCCAAAAAAACTGACTTCGGATTCGGAATCCTGGCCATCGATAACCTATAGCAAAGTTCACTCAAAACGACCAAAAGTTTTAAAATGAAAAAGCTCATTTCTGATTGATCGATTTCTGACCAATGAAATCTCGGCCAAAAAAATGGGCTTCGGATTCGGATTCAGGGCCCTCGATAACCTGTAGCAAAGTTCGATCAAAACGGCGAAAAGTCTTAAAATAAGAAAGTTCTTTTCTGATTGGTTAGTTTTCGACCAATGAAATCTCGGCCAAAAAAATGGCCTTTGGATTCAAATTCAGCGCTCTCGATAACCTATAGCAGAGTTCGATCAAAACGGCCAAAAGTCTCAAAATAAAAAATAGTTCGTTTCTGATTGGCCGGTTCCTGACCAATGAAATCTCGGCCAAAAAAATGGGCTTCGGATTCAGATTCAGGGCCCTCGATAACCTATAGCAAAGTTCCATCAAAAAGGTCAAAAGCCTTTAAAATAAGAAAGTTCGTTTCTGATTGGTCGGTTTTCAACTAATGAGACCTCGGCAACCGAAATTGGCAATGGATTCAGATTCAGGGCCCTCGATAACCTATGGCAAAGTTCACTCAAAACGACCAAAAGTCTTAAAATAAGAAAGTTCGTTTTTGATTGGTCAGTTCCTGACCAATAAAACCTCGGCCACCGAAATGGGCAATGGATTCGGATTCAGGGCCCTCGATAACCTACGGCAAAGTTCACTCAAAACGACCAAAAGTCTTAAAATAAGCTAACCTCTCTGGTATGTTCTTTTGACCCTGCCACAAACACACAAACAGACAAACACACAAACTATTTTTTTTCATATGACCCTCCCTACAGTCGAGGGAATAATATGTTTGTACATCAACACATAACCAAAACTTCAATCCATATTTATCAGGTTTTTTCGGGATAAATTGACGAAACGGACGTTTTCCTCTAAAAGGTAATAGCTGTTCATCAATCGTAACATAAGGTCCTGGTACATAACATGTTTTTATATTGTCTTCGAAATCTGACCAGATTTCACGAATTGCTGCAAATTTATCGGTTTTTTTCCTTTCTTCTCTTGTTGTTTTATCATCGAATCTTAAACAGGAGATAATTATTTCAAAACGACTTCTTCCCATAGTAGCTTTGAATATTGGAGACTCCAACGGACTTCTTTTCCATAATTATTTAATGTTTTTTTTTCGATTTTCCTAATAAACCAGCAAGTAATAAAAGTCCAATAAAAGCTTTTAGTTCCATCATTGTTATATCTTCTGATTTTTCATTGGAAGCGATATTTCGAGTACGTTCCATATTAGAATAAATCAAAATTTTTTGTATAATTTTTTCCAATATAAAACAAATAAATGCATCTTGAATAGATGATACATCTTCCGTGAGTTTAGTAGGTCCAGCCTTTTCACTTGTATCATTTGAAGACTTTGCTTTCTTTGAAGGATACGGAATTGAAGACCAGGTGATTCCGGATTTGGAACTATATAAACTTTTTGGAGTAGAATCGTCGTCTAATTTAAGATTTTCTAAATCAATTTCATCATCTTCTTCTGATGTTTGACTTTCAGCGTCTTGCGTTTCCGAAGCACTTCCTTGGTCATAAGAATCTTCATCATCACTTTCATCTTCAATCCAACTGTTCATAATTGTTTTATAATATTCTGAACAGTTTATTCAGATTGTATATGAAAAAGAAATTTCAATCTATAAAAGAGATGTAAATAAAGACGCACTAGATGAACTACTATCAGCTAAAGAAAATAAATTGGTATATAAAGTTGAGTATGAAAAAAAAAGATCAATAAATAAGAACTTCAAAAGAAAAAAAAGAGAGGCAAGTCATCCATAATTGAATGAATCATCTACCATCCTAATTG